GGCGGGGGAGGGGGAGCAGGGGGGCCACGGCCATCCGTGCCCTTGTAGGCCTGCCGGACGAGGGAAGGGCACAGGGCTGGTCTTCTCCTAGACGGCGTTTCTGGGCTGGGCTGTCCCGCCCCCCAAAGAGACACAGTTGTGAGAGGCTGGCCTCGGCTGCTTCCACGCTTGTCACGTGTCCATTCCACAGGCCCCCGCTCCCCCCCCCAGCCCCACCCTCTCTGCTCTCGCTCTCTCCACGCCGACCGCGCCGGGCTTCATTCCGTTCTTTAAATACATCCGCTTTCTCACCTCCACGCCTGCCCATTCGGTTTCCCTTGCCTGGAATATTCTCCCGCTTCCTCTTCGCCTGCCCAGCTGCTCCCTATCTCTCAGGCCCGTTTTAAAGCACCCCTTCCTCCAGGAAGCCCTCCTTGATTCCGCCGCGGTTCTCATCTGCACTGCCTAGCCCGTCGTGGCCGTAGCCTACCACCCACCGTCTTAAAATGGCTTGTTTGGCTGTCGAGCTCCACGGCCCAGCTCTGGGAGCTCTGGCAGGGCAGCGCAGTTAGCCGCTGTTCTCTGCTATACCCCCGGGCCTTGCACCAAATAGATGCTCAACGCACCTATGGATGGGTGGATGAAGGGTGGATGCATAGAAGGGAGAATTCTAAAGGGAAAGACCTGCTTTACTGGCTCCTGGTCTGGTGCTCTCCCCCTAAGCCAAGCATCCCTCGGGTTGCGTGGGTGGAGGCCGGAGGCCAGCCCCGTAAGGACACTCCGTATTCTCCAGGCATTGAGGGGGTGGCTGGATACTCACTGCGCCCCTCCTGACCCTGACCGGGACCCTCCCTGCCTCTCCCCCTGCCCAGAGCTCCCATTGGTGGCCATCGTCGGGGGCGACAATATCACAGCCCCTTTCCTGCAGCCTGTGACCCTCCAGTGCGTGGGGACTGGGGCGCCCACCCCGAGTCTCCGCTGGTGGAAGGATGGGGTGGCCCTGGCAGCCTTGGGGGGGAAGCTGCAGGTACGTTCAGGGGCCCCAGGGCTGGTGGGGCAGCTGGGCGCGGGTGGAGGGGCCACTTTTTAGGGATCCTGGTGACCCTGTACGGGCCCCTGGCAGCCTGGGGACAGGGTGAGTACTGGGTGGTGGGCCTGAATAGGGGAGGGAAGTGGGAGGGACATAGTCGGGGCAGGGGGAGCATCCCTGGAATCTGAATGCATAGCTTAGGACTCCACCCCCGGAGCCAAACTGTCCCCTGGACTCCCTTCTCCTGCCCCTGGGGTCTGCAGCGACCCACTGCTCACTGTGTCCCAGCATCCCTCTGACCACCCTAACAGGGCCCCGTGTTCCCCGTGGCACACACGCGGCCATCCCTCCTCCCCCTCCAGATCGAGAAGGTGGACCTGAGGGACGAAGGCGTCTACACTTGTGCTGCCACTAACCTGGCGGGGGAGAGCAAAAAGGACGTGGTTCTCAAGGTTTTGGGTGAGGACGAGGGCGCCGGACGGTGGGGACGCGAGGGCCCTCGGGGCCGCCCTGGGCGGGCAGGGAGCAGGGGATTTTAAAAACATCGCACGTCCTCATCTGCGTGCATATTCACTTTTGCATGCTGCATTCACCCTTGGGTTCGTTTACGTCCTCGCGCGCGTGCGCAAATCCCAGCTCTTGTCACCTTTCCCGGCTGCCTAACTTTCCACGTCTCTACTGTGCCGGCTCGCGGCTGTTCCCACAGAGCTGGGCGCTGGGGTCTTTCCGGTTGCGGAAAGGTGGCAGCCTGGTGCCTTTGTCCTCATGCCGGTTCAGGAGTGGGGTTCCTCGGGCAGAGGACAGGAGCCGTTGGGGGCTCTTATGGCCCAGGACCCTTTGGGGAGGCCGGCGAGGGCTATCGGGCACGACCGAGAGGAGATGGGCCGAGAGGAACCCAGAGCCCACATCCACCAAGACGGGGCTCTGCTCGTCTCCCCTAGTGCCCCCCAACATCGAGCCCGGCCCGCTGAACAAGGCAGTGCTGGAAAATGCCTCGGTAACCTTGGAGTGCCTGGCTTCGGGTGTGCCCCCTCCTGGTAAGACCCCTCCCCTTGGCTGAAAGCCATCCCAGCCAGGCCCCAACTCCCCATCTAGAGAGGCCGGCCAGCGCCCCAGGCACCGCCTGGGCTGTGGACAAAACAGGGAGGGATCCATAGGACCTTCCCCTATTTATCGAATGTTCCTCTCTTCTCAATGTGTCGGTCACTGCCGGGGCCCAGGGCCTTTGCACTGGTGTCTGAAGCAAGCGGGGCTTCTGTTCAGAACTCGCGATTTCACAGGGCCGCCCTGGGGCCGGGGGCAAGGACCGGGACCTCAGAGTCGCCGTCTGTCTGGGGCTCTTGTCTAGAGCTTGGGGCTACGGGGCGTGAGTGTTCAGCGGACGGGATGAGCTCTGGCAGGATGTAAGGAGGCCAAGGCTACAATTGGTCCATGCTTGTGGGGCTGGGGATTCAGAGCGCGCCATGATTCCCTCCGCCTCGTGAGTGGTCCCTGGCAGGGAGAGGAGTTGAGGGCGGCTGGGCTGGCTTTGACTCTCCTTGCTCCTGGCAGCCCCAGCCTCCATCCCATGGAACTTCCCCTCTGCCTTCTGCCCTGTCTCAGACAACCCTGCCCTGTTCCAGCCCCAGCCTTCTTCCTGGAAAACTCTGGCTTTCTCCGGTGCCTGACATAAAGGCATGCCATGTGGCCACCCTGGCAGCCTTTGATGGGTGCTCACGACACAGGCACAGCCTGAAGGGCGGGCAGGACTCCTTGCATCTCTCTCCTCTCCCCCAGATATCTCCTGGTTCAAGGGCCGCCAGCCTGTCTCAGCCCGGAAGGGAGTGACAGTGTCAGCTGACGGGAGAGTTCTCCACATTGAGCGGGCACGATTTTCTGATGCTGGGAGCTACCGTTGTGTGGCATCCAATGTGGCGGGCAGCACGGAGCTGCAGTATGGGCTACGGGTCAATGGTGAGCTGCCCTGGGACTAAAGGGGTCCTTGTCCCAAAAGTAATCCCTGCGTTTATGTGTCTGTCAGTCTGTCTGTCCGTCCATCCTTCCACCCATCCAACCATCCATCATCCATCTACCCATCTATCATCTATCCTTCCGTCCATCACCCATCCATCCATCATCCATCCATCTACCCATCATCTATCCTTCCATCCATCATTCATCCATTATTCATCCTTTTATGTAACCATCCATTCAATCCTTTGCCCATCCACCCATCTAACTATCTATCTGTCCATCTACTTACCCATCCATCCGTTCCTCCATTTATCTGTCTTCTGTCCAACCACTTTTATTGAGTACATCCTCTGGGGCGGACCCTGGGGCTGTAGCCCCAAGGAAACAGACCCAGGGGCCTTCTGTCTAGTGGGGAATACAGCAGTTACACAGTCACCCAGTATCCTATCTTCTGACGATTGTGATAAGAGTTAGTAAAGAGGAGGTACGACCCAGTGCCTGGAACTGGGGCACTGACCTGGCCTGGGGAGTCCCAGAGGTGTCTTTGACAGTTGGATGCCTACATGGAGACCACCTGCCAAGGGCTGACGCTGCAGAGATGTGGGGAATTATGGGAGCTGGAAGGAGGCTGGGGGCCAGGAGCTTGCCGGACAATGGGAGGAGGGGACGGGGTGGTGCAGGTGGCCAGATGGAGGCTGGGGAGGCAGAGCCTTTATGCTAGGAGCAGTAGGTGGCTGGGCAGGAGGCTGGGACCCTGGGCATCGTGACCGTGACCGTATCTCCCAGATACCGTTGAGTCTTCTGACCATTTTCCGCCCTCGCGGGGCTGCCTGCCGGATAGCATAGCGTTTCGTCTGATGCCTCTGCATTGGGAAACAAAACTTCCCAGAGGTCGCCCCCTGCCGTCCGCATCCTAAGGACCTCATGCTCACCGGAAGACCCAAGTTCAAGTGCTATTTGTCACTTTCTAACTGGTCAGCCTTGGCCATGACTTACCCTCTCTGAGGCCCCGGTTCCCGCCGGTGGAAGCCCCCTCGTGGTGGGGTCAGGATGCGAGGAGCACCCGTGCTGGGAGTGGCGTCCCTGCACTTTTGTTTGTGGCCGTGTGCCCCGTGGGGTGGCCCGGCCAGGGGCCCTGCTGGCTTCGCCCCCAGCGGGGCTCACCCCGGGCCCTGCGTTGTCCCCCGCCCTGCAGTGCCTCCACACATCACACAGCCACCCGGCCTGCCAGGCCCCGTGCTGCTCGGCGCCCCGGTCCGGCTGACCTGTAATGCCACTGGAGTCCCCAGCCCCACGCTGCTGTGGCTGAAGGATGGAAACCCCGTGTCCACCGCAGGGGCCTCCGGCCTCCAGGTCAGGCTGGGCAGCCCTGGGTCACCTCTCCGGTGCCTCAGGAGGTGCTGGGAGCAGAGGTCGGGCCCCGGGAGCTCCGAGGCGAGCGACGAGCCGTGGCCGCCGAGGGTGGTCGGCTGGTGGGAAGAAGGAGAGTCTAGAGCCCCGTGGATTCCAGAAACACGATACGTGCTGCCAGTGCGAGCCGTATATGTAGTTTTGGGCTTTCCGGTGACTACGTTCAAACGAGTAATGAGAAATGCACGAAAGCGGCTTCAGTAAAACATTTTAGTTAAGCTGATCCGGCCAAAAAATCCATGATCAGTATGGAAATTATTAAGGCATTTCCCAGGGTTTCTTTTTGTTGCAACTCTTTGTAGTCCGTTGTGTCTTGTCCCCTTGGGGTTCAGCCCCATTTCAAGGGCTCCGTAGCCACAGCCCGGCTCTAGAGGGAGCACCGATGTAACTCGTCCACCAGCCGGTGGAGGTCCCGAGGCCTGGGGACGGCGCACGGCTCCCCCGCATTGTGGGGGGGGGCTCTGGGGTCTGGGGCAGGCTGCCCAGGGGTGCCCAGCAGCAGGGCCAGCATGGGAACGTGGGGGTGCTGCCGTGCATAGCTTGATGTGGGCTTCCTTCTGGGGACACAGGTCTTCCCTGGGGGCCGGGTCCTCACCCTGGCCAGCGCCCGGGCCTCCGACTCTGGCAGCTACTCGTGCGTGGCCGTGAGTGCAGTGGGCGAGGACCGTCGGGACGTCGTCCTGTACGTCCACAGTGAGTCTCAGGCTTGGGATGCTGCCTGGGCCCGGCCGGGGGCTCAGGAAGGTGGGGCTGGGGGCGTCCCTCCCCAAACCACGTCCAAAGCGGGGTGGTGGAGGGGGCGCGCCGGCCTGAGACCGTGGCTGCCTCCGTGGGGGCGTCAGTCGGGGGCGAGCTGCTCCCCCGTCGCGGACAGGGAGGCAGGTGAGTGGCCCGCACAGCCAGGAGCTCGTGTTCAGGGAACAGGTGGAAGGGACACGACGTGGCAGGGAGAACCCCCGGGCCGAGTCAGGAATCGGATGTTCTCACGGTCCTCGATCAAAGGGGTAACTGCTTTCGGGGAGCATGTAAAAATTTTAGAAACTTTAAAAAGAGGTTTTGTTTTTTTGTTTTTTTTTTTACATTTTTTAAGGTTAGTTTGGAGAGAGAGACAGCATGAGCAGGGGAGGGGCAGCGAGAGGGGGGGAGGGAGAGAGAGAATCCCAAGCAGGCTCGCACCTAGAGCCCCACGTGGGGCTGGAATCCACAAAACCGTGAGATCGTGTCCCGAGCCGAAACCAAGAGTCGGACCCTTAACCAGTCGAGCCACCCGGGGGCCCCAAGACACTATGTTTCTAAAAGAATTTGAGATCATCGTAAATTCACGTGCACTTGTAAGGATTAGTACAGAGAGATCCTGGGTCCCCTCTGCCCAGTGTCCCTGGCCAGAATCCTCTTGTAAAGCACACAGCCACACGTGGGGGTATCGACGTGGCTATGCGTCACCATCCTGCTCAGATTTGGGGGCCTCCTCTTGGAGCAGGACTGGGAAGGTCCTTGCGGGGAGGATGAGAGGCCACAGCTCGGGTCGGAGGCCCCCTCCCAGCGCTGACCCCCCCCCC